CATATAATAATTTTTGTTAATTCTTTTTGGTTTAAAAAATTTTCCAAAAAAACATAACCCGTCTCAACCTGCATACATCTCCCCTACAGAATTTTTAATTTAAATTATTCAGAATTAAAACTATTTTAAATTTCAACGTGAAACCTTTTTAAATTTAAAGGAAGGATACACCGATATTTTTAATTATATCTAGAAAATATTTCAAGACCTCCTTGGAATAACGAGTTACGGCACATTTCAAAATAAATGCAAATATAATGAAAATATGTGTACATGTATTGTTAAAAAAATACGACTAAATTAATAAAATAGTAGAATTAAATATGTAGTGTTCGAAATGTATTGTTTTTTATTATATAGTTTAGTTTTAATCCCCGGAGGCCTTCATTCTGTAATATTTTTTAGGGTAATTTTTTGGTAGGAATTTAATGACCAAAAAATAAAATGAGCCAGAAAATATTTTTAATCCTTTTTAATTTTCACTATTCCTAAAAATCGATAGATTTTGAAATTTATATGTGATATTGTAGAAAAACCACTATTATTGACAAAAATTGTTTATAGGCTAAAAATGATAAGAAATTATATTTTTTGAAAATATAGTCAAATAAAGTAGAAAGTTCTACTATCAGAAGCTTATATTAATCTTTAAGTTTTTTCTTAACTTTTTTTAGATTAAGAAATTTTTAATTTTTGTAGAAATTTCTCTGACTTTGAATGAAATTCTCTAAAATTCCCTGACTGTTAAACACCCAGCATCCCCTTAACTGCGAACAATCTTCATCAATAAGAATGATTCATATAATTTACTAATATAATTATATGTCGATAGAGAATTGAAAATGATATTGTTAAACATTACACGGAAAATTTTTTTTGTCAAAGAATAACTGAGACTTAATTAATATATCACTTGCAATAGTCAATATTATTTAAATTTATCCGAATAAAATGGTTACTAATAAACAAGTGTTGGTTAAAAGTAATCATTTTATTGTTCAAATTTAAACAAAGAATATTGCAAGTGCTATATTAATCAAGTAATTTTCCCAGAGTAGTAACAGGATTTTTTTGAGCCGCACGTATTATTATTGAGTAGTAATAAAAGTAATAATAATACAAAGAAATGATTCGTCTTCACATGACACATAAGTTTTTTCAAGCATTTAAGATTAAACACACTCTGAAGTTATCTGACCTTTCACACTTTTCAGGGTTCCACCATTTTTAAACTACTTCTCAAATCAATTTGAAAAAATTTAATGTTTCTAAACATTTTACTTTAAATCGCCTTACTTTAAATACCTAATTAGAAATTTTATAATATAACAACACTAATACAATACGGATATTTTCAAACTATTTCTTTCATAAGTTTTTGGACAGAATAATTATTACTATTTATTTTTAAACACTAATAAATTAAAACATAATAAATAAAAATTCGTAAAAAAAGAAATCGTATCTTTTGCCTATTACTAAACAATAGATATAAAATGTGTTAAATTAATAATTTTTCTGAATATCAATCAATACGCACGTTGTAAAAACTGAATTTTTTTGCGCTTGAAAATAAAAAAATATCCTACTAATAATATTGAGATAATATTATACCAAGATACAGAATGTTGCACATACCTGTTCAATTTCCATTGGTAATGTCTCATTTTCAGGAGTCCGTGGTCTTCTAGGCAAATTTTCCTCTACATCGTCAATCTTCCCAATTCTGTGTCGCGTACTTCTTGGAACTTCTACTGAAGGGTCCTTCAAATAACTTTTATAGTTTTTTCGTGGATTAGACATAATTTCTATTTCTGAAATAATTAAAACTGCTTTTAAAATATAATTAGATTGTGTAATTAAGCCATATTTTTGGCTTCTACTTAAATGCAAATGGTTTTTGGAATTATATTAAAATTAAGTCACATTGTTTTTTATCTAGAAGCATTTTTTGTTTGAGGTTATGTTTAACACGTACCCACAGTATTTTATAACCTCAAGTTATAACACAATTTATAATAACACATATAAAATGAAATAATATTTATATAAATATATAAAGAGCTAATAAATAAATTAAAACAGGGATTAAATATAAAAAGGGTGAGAATATATTGAGAAATAATGTATTCTCAAATGTAAAATTTGGACATGTATATTTAGCAATCTTTCTTACCTTTACTTATACAGAAATTCCTATCACTTTAAGAGTTAAAGAGATATATGTTGATCACTTTTTTGCACTTAATTCGACTATAACTGGACTATCCACTCAATTACACAGCAAGATTCTTGTTGTGTTTGCCGCATGCCACGATATTACGGATGAGACGCCTGCGACGCGAAAGAGGTTATCCACGCGCAATATCTATAATTTGATCACTTTTTTTGCACTTAATTCGAGCCTGCGACCCGAAAGAAGTTATTCACGCATAATATCTATATATTCATCACTTTTTTGCACTTAATTTCAGCTACAACTAAACTATCTGTGTTGTGTTTGCCAAATACCACAACTACGATATTACAAATGAGACCATAGACGATAGACATATAAGAATAGACCGCGCTAGAGGGCCAAAATGCTGGATGTGCCATAGAAAGAGACAGTCCATGCGTTTGACTGAAACAGACAGAGCGTAACGACCGATTGTCAGACTCTTTCTAACCCAAGGTATGCTTTGGAGTAAGAGAGAAGAAACATCAGTCGTTGCGCTCTACCTTTCTCTTTTTATTGAACTTCCCTGCTCCTCTCATGGGGTCCGTGCCACTAGCGAGATCTCCCACTAGCGCGGTCTATTCTTATATGTCTATGGATGAGACGCCTGAGACGCGAAAGAGGTTATCCTCGCGTGAAGGCCTAAGCACAACTGCTTCGCGAACGTCGTTCGCGAATGCAAAGCATGAGTTAGAAAAGCACAGAGATATATGTGTGTCCTTTTCTATCACATGCACCTCGTTCGCGAACGACTTTCGCGAATCTATTGTGCGTTAGCCTTAACGGCATGTGGGAGAAACCCACGTGACCTAGTATGGGAAAATGTGTTTTGCAATATTCCAACTTTCTCTAAAATGAAAAAAGATTTTAGGCTAAAATTTTGAGGGTTGATAGATTTGGGTACAATGCACCGCGCTGTTCTCCTGAAAAAACTTAATTTTGCGTTAAATTATTTAAAAACTAATTTTAAAAAGTTTAATTTTTAAACGAAAATGACAAAAAAGATGGCGGCGCATACACAGACGTTGCTTGAGTGTGTCAGTGCTCCAGTAAACAGCGCCAATTCGAGCGAGTGGCCGCTGAATGAACTATGATTAAATACATTATTTTACTATTTATTGCTTTATTTTTATTATTTTTACGTAAATGAGGAGAACAGCCGTATGCTTTGCACCCTCCAAAATCAAGTCTTGAATATTTTAACCCGAAATCATTATTTATTTCAGAGAAAGTTGGAATCCACAAAAAAAACGTCTATTTCCCACATGGCCTTAAAGGCCTAAGCACAACTGCTTCGCGAAAGTCGTTCGCGAATGCAAAGCATGAGTTAAAAAAGGACAGAGATATATGTGTGTCCTTTTCTATCACATGCACCTCGTTCGCGAACGACTTTCGCGAACCTATTGTGCGTTAGCCTTATTATACGAAAGTTTTTCCTGGCTTTCCCGCCAAATTAAAACAGACTTTTCGAATGGTGCGATCACACCATTTCATAAAGCAAGCACTCATGGTGTGGCTGATCCTTAATTACTTTCGTTAAAAAATTGTAATTTGCATACATCGTGAAATATACTAAGGGTGCATTTATACGACAGTCGGTAGAAAAAAAATTTACCAAAAAATGTCAAAATCGCCTTCACACGAAGCTGTAAAGGTGCTTCTGGAATAACTTAAAAATACATTTGTTTTCTCTAATTCAAAGTAATAGCATTTTCTGCATATAAGTTTACGATAATTTGCTTTGAATTTAATGACTTAAAGTAAATTTATGTGCAGAATATGCAATTACTTTGAATCAGATTAAACAAATGTATGTATAAGCTATTGCAGAAACACCTTTACAACTTCGTGTGAAGGCGATTTTGATAGTCTCGGGTAAATTTTTTTTCTACCAATAGTCGTATAAATGCACCCTAAGATATTTCTTGTTTTTGTTACGAAAATGTTTATTTACGAAATTCATTTACGCTTTATAAACAAAGATGGCCCATATTTTAATGATTAATAAGAATTCTTTAAAATAAAATATAATGTGAAAAATTGAAATGCTGAGTAAATATTTCTGATTGGTTGAAAAATTTCACTACATGTTTTGGTCCAACAAGACACATGTGTGCAGGGACAACTTGGTCACCTGGTGGCCTAGGCTCTATTCCAATTTCGAAATATTCGAAATTTTTCTTTATTTTACAAAACTTTCAAAGTGAAATTTAAAAAGAATATTAAAAAATGTTTTACTAAATTATATATTAAATTTCAATACTAAATTTATTTAATATTTTTATTGAAATTTTATTTAATATAATTTTAAAATAAACATTTTGAAAATTATAGAATAAATACTATCAAGATTTCAGAAGTTTAGGGACAATTTATTAAATTATTGTATACTTATTGCTAATTAAGTGTAATTATTTGATATAGAAAAATATTGTGCAAGATATAAAGAGCAATGTGTTTCAACAAGCTTGTACAAAGTACAAAATTGGAAACAGATGTATCAATTAATGTGTTTAGAAGTGTGTGCATTATATGTACTTTATACTTTCGTAAAACTTATAGATCTATGAAAAGTGTAGCACGTGTATTTTAAAAATATATGCATCTTAAGTATGAAGAAAACGATTAGTCCGGAAGTAGTTTTACGGCCCTGATAAAATCACATTATAATAGTGGCAACACTGCGAATCTACTAGTGAGTGCGTTGTGATTAGAGAATCTATCAGAAATTTGTTCCAACAACGAAAGTGCTAAAATGGATAAAATAATTTCAAAATCTAGGATGAGAAGAGAAATAAATTTTGCCTATGTACAATACGTGGAGGACTCTGAAAAGGAACTTATTGAAATAGACAGGGTTGAAAATTTTCCTTATAAATTTATTGAAGACTTTTCTGGATATGGTGTTGTGCCGTTCAGTGTCTTGTGGTTTGACAAAAATAATCAAGAATGGGAGAAGTATGAAGCCGTGATTCATCTTATTGGAGGTAAGTGTAACTCATAAACAATGTTTTACAAAATTGCATATATAAGATACATTAAAAAAAAAGAGTTTGGAAATTCTATTTTTCTAAAAAATGTGCGGTATATGCATATGTAGTTTCGAACACGTGGCGAAGTGAAAGTAGAAATTTTTCAAACATTATTTACAAAATATAAAAAATATAAATAATTAATTTGATAAATACAGTAAAAAGTACTTTAAATTATTTGGCACAATAAGAAACTTACACTTATTTTTATCACTTATCTATAAATAAATTAATAAATAATTTCAATTAATTGACAAAATTCAAAAATTACACATACCTTTGAATTCTGACTAAATTGTAAATATACATATATTATAGTTATCCTAATGTTTTTTCTTTCCGGACCTCCGTCAATATTTGAAATTTGTTGTAAATGTATGTTTGACAATATTTATTCTTTTTGCATATAATATTATTTCCGAGATTATTGATACGTCGCGTTCTTTCCTCTCGCTTTTTTCTCAACGTGCGGGAAGAATGAACCCCCCAAATTTACTCGAAAACTAGGTGTCTATAATTTAATATTTACATTATTACGATATTGAGAATATGTTGTTTGATATGATTTATTTCTATTTGAATTTAATTTTCTTAGATTTTCTAAGTATCAAAAATATAAATTATAATGATTTTCACACTATAAAATTGTGTGTAGTATAAATTTTATCAAGTCGAATAATTATTTTTCCCAAGTAGCATGCAATCTAATTGGAAATTAATATAATTAGTATATTATCTAGAGGAGCTAATGCGATAGCTGATAATTTTGATTTTTTTAACATAAGCCTGAATTCATTTATAACCGCAATGCGTAATTTTTTCTTTACAAACTAGTTTTTATTTTTTTTTTACACAGCAGCGTATCATTTAAGTTTGTTAATCTTTTCCAAAGGGTTCTTTATTTTAAAGACCCGTATGTAAATAAATAAATAAAAAAATAAGTAATTTTTAATTTGCAAAATTGTGAGTAATACAATTGTTAAAAATATATTTGTTTTTTATAATTTTTGTGAAACCTAATAATTCTTTGAAATAATTACTGTTTTATTTATAGTTTCTAAATAACCTAAATCTTTATCCTCAAAATATCATTTTACATATGTAATAGTAATTAAAAATTCTATTTCTTATAGTTTCTAATGCATAGAAATATCATTCAATGTAATGTTTAATTTATAAACTTTTAATATGTCCTCCTTTTAATGCCACCGAATACGGCATAAACGTGATTCGCAGAATATTCTATGAATTAACATTATAATTCCATTTACTTGACAATAGATTTCCCTTGATTCATAGAATATTATACAAATCACGTATTCGTTGGCATAAAAATTAAAACATAAGCACATTTTTTAAAATTAACATTCTATTCAATAATAATTCTATGCATTAAAAACTAAGAAATAAATAAGTAAAATGATTTTATCACTCGGTCGATATAAATTAAAAAATATGAAGATTGAGATCACTCAATCTCAATCTGTTTTGTTAAAATTCGTATTTCTTCTCAATTGAAAATTGTTTAAAAAATTTAAATTTCTCACCACAAAAACAGAAACGAAGAGTTGTGTCCAAATTCAAATCGAGGAGGCGGAAAGAAACAACAGGCGATTTCGAGTACCTTCCGAGAAAGTTTTGGAAGCCAGTTCTTTGCAAGCATCACCAGGAAAGGATCGAAAGAAGTTAAAGGTATATTATGCCCATTTGAAATAGAGCTTTAACAAGGCCAACGTAGTTTTCCTAGTTTCTGGTAAGGCCCATGTTAATGCCTTATTTTAAATAGGGTAAGGTGGGGCGATTTCTGCAAGAGATGTAAAAAAATTCCCTACTTCTCAAGTACAAAATTTTATACTATGTTCCTCAAAACATTGTGTTGTCACTACCATAGCACTAACAATGAACTATTTCTAGAATATTTCTCTAAATTCGAAATATGTAGTAGAGTCACTTTTGACACTGATTTTGCTGGGAAATAGAAGTGGAATACTAACAATTCAAATTTAATATTTAAAAGTTGAAAAGAAAAACAATTAGAATTTAAACATCACTGTTTATGGAAAATCTGCCATGTATGAAAAAATGTATAATTGAGGGTCCAGATGCTATAAGAGGATACGCGCCATTAACTTAACATGGCGTTCAGTCCTTCAATTAATTTTTATAAATTAATTTGCATATCAGATTTTAAAAACTTGCTCTTCATACGAACATATGTCACATTTACATTAATTTGTAAATCAGTAAATCACTCCAAATAGAATAACTGGTAATTTTTACAAATTTTAACTAATTTACGAAAGTAGATAAATTAAATTTATACCCAGTAAAGTTACTTATCAGATAGCATCTGACTTCCAAAATTGTTGATAAAGTCATTAATTGTAGTAAAGCAGACGAAGCAAGTTGTTTTCGAATTTTATGATAAATTTTATCTTTATTTTTTTAATAACAAACACGATTGCAAAAACCGGATGATAATTTACGTGAACATTGGGTATACCAAAAAAGTTTAAATGCCTTCTTATATTTAAAATAAATGTTAAATTATGTGGGCATGTTTGAACCTTTTAAATTGTATATTTCTTCGATATGTTTTGATAATTTCATTAAATTGCAATTAATTTTTGCTCTTTCTAATCGATTTATCAAATTTATTTTAGGCTCTGAAAGTGGCAGAGGCAAAAAAGAAAACTAACTCTCAGATTTTGGCTGAGAAAAAAAAAAACTCTTCTTGTCAACAGAAGAATTATTTTGTCAGACACTGATTCGGATAGTGCCGACGAAAATAATGTAGAACAACCTGCTGCCAAGAGAAGGAAAATTGGAGAAAACTCAAAGATGACGAATAATAAAATTGATGACATAGAACCAATACATTCACTATCGTCAAGACCCTCACCACGACCAACAGCACCACCAAAAGCACCATCAACAGCACCACCAACAGCTTCACCAACAGCTCCACCAACAGCTCCACCAACAGCTCCACCAACAGCTCCACCAACAGCTCCACCAACAGCTCCACCAACAGCTCCACCAACAGCTCCACCAACAGCTCCACCAACAGCTCCACCAACAGCTCCACCAACAGCTCCACCAACAGCTCCATCAACACCTCCATCAACACCATCACCTCCACAAGCCTCAATTTGTTCATTAATGTCAACTGATAATCAAACTATGGATATAAATAACAGGGAACATCCTGAAAAGTTTAAAATTTTTAATGATAAAGTAAGTTAAGGTTTTTATCTACCTACGTAAATGAAATAGCACTTATATTTTCAAGTTCAATTGAGAAAAATTTAATCTTGAATTTCGACAAGGGCTTAACTCTATGAAAATTGTTAAGCATGAAGTTATCTTTTCATTTCTTTAACTAAAACGCTTCAATTCATAAATTTCGAAAAGGGCTTAACTCTGACAACTATGATATAAATTGTCCCCAACTCACCATCATTTATGACAATTATTTGAACATTTTTTCTAGAGATAGTAACCTAAATATTTTCGCTTTCGGATTCAACTTTTCACTATTCTTCTAAAAAAATTTGGTTTCCGATTTATTCTGCAAAGATTAGAGTACCGGTATTTGGGTTTCGGTTTCTCAAAGATTTCGGTTATAGGTTTCGGTTGTTTTTTCCTGATGATATATTATTGAAAATATTTCTGTATTTTAATTAATTAGAATGAAATATATATATATATATCAATTACTCATGATTGCCTACTTTCAGAAAAGGCGACTTTTTTCGACTTATTTCCAAAAAATGCAACTTTCTCGAATTTTCTTCTAAATAATGCAACAAAATTATATTTTTTGGTGTAAACTGCAAATTATATCGATATTTCTAGTAAAAAAAATTACTGTATTCAAATATTTAAAAATGTATTTTTGATTAATTTTTCTTTAAGATAATTGAATTTTCGGAATAGGTGTTAGATTTTTTAATAATTGAAATTTTATTAAAAGTAATTAATTTTCTTTAAGTATTTTATTAAAATATTTGAAAATCAAATTTTGAAAGATTTTAATGATTGAAAATTTTAAAAATAATTGAATTCTCGAAAATTATAATGAAAAATGAAAATTAGTTTTAAAAAAAGTGTATTGAAAAATTATTTCAAAAACTTAATTCTTCGGATTTTTTTGTTAAAATTTCATAAGCTTCAAATATTATCAGTACTTTGAATTCTTACATGTTTTCAAAAAATCATGTATTTTAATAATATGTAGGTACAATTACAATTCTTTAAAGACTTGATTATTTTTTAATAATTTCCAAACATTCTTTTTAAAACATCAATTATTGTCAGAAAATTTTACTAAATTTCAATTATTTTGAAAATTTAAAAATAAAAATTAAAAAATCCATTATTATTCAAAAATTATTAAAAATATCTGTAATAAAGTGTTAGATTTGGCTTTTCCTGTTGTAGGAAAATGGTATTTCATGTTTAAATGTTTAAGAAAAATAAATGTTTAAAACATAAGCTAAAATAATTTTAAAAAAAACTAATACATTTGTTTGGTTGTACATCCACCTATCATTTTTAGTTTTACTTTTATATTAAAAATCGAAAAATTGAAATTTAGGTTTTGAAATAATGGTTTAAAATTTTTAAAATACAGTTTTCGGGTTTAGTATGAAATACATTTTTGTGGTTCGGTTTCGGTTGTCATCCATGATTTCTTCATGACTGGTCCTCTGGAATTGAAGCTGTTTAAAAATATCCTTTTTTTTCTCCTGCAAAATATCAAAAAACTAAGTTGAGCCTTTTTTGAAATTCACGATTCCATTCAAATCCAACTTTTCTCTTTTTTTGTATGAATTTGAAAACTACTTTTAATAACTTTTCAGATATTTATCAATGACGAAGTCTCTTTTGATCTGCAAGCTTGGGAAAATTTAGAGGGTACAACGAAAGAGTCTGTGTACTGCAAAAGTGTTGCGATTGCCATTTGGAAAGACCAACTCAAAAATAAATGTTTTGACTTAAAAGCCAGCGAGCGAACTCCAGGACAAAAGCGAACTCTTTTGGAAGAGAGAAAACTGGATGCTGTTTATGGTATTTTATAATTTCAACTTTTAATTGAACAGAAGAAGTAATGAAACAAAATTGCGTCAATTCAATTTAATTGAATTTAAAAAAAAATTCATTTTTATAAGATTTGAGTTTGCTGTTTTCATAAATTATTGAATTTTAATAGGTTCCAAATTGCAATTTTACTAAATTTGAATTTTAAATAATTTTAATTGAAAATTCTGAAGAATGTAGTTTACGAAAAAATTGTAATTAAAATTTCTGGAAAAATTGATTTAAAAAAAATTTTTGAAATTATTCGGATTTTTGAAAATACATTAAATTAACAAATTTTAGAATAACAAAAATTTTATGTCATTGAATTGAAAACTTGTGGTTTTTATAATTATTATAGATGAACTGTCTTTTTTTTTAATCATAAAATTTTCTCAATAATTATTAAATTAATTGACTACAAGAAAAATTCAAGTACTGTGACGCAGCATTTAGTTATAGTACATAACTCCGAAAAATAGTTAACTATGACAGGAATTATAGTTGAAATTTGAAGAAATGATTCAAAAAAGTTTTAAATTGAAATTTTATTATATTTCATTATTAGAATCCCCTTTTATGTTTTGAAGAATTCCCCTATTCTTAAGTGAGAATGGCACTGTGATCCCTGTAATTAATAATATAATAATTTAATAAAATTTGCAATTTCTATTAAATATAAATTATTTTTTCACACATTTTACACTAATTTCTGAAAATATTATGAAAACTGACAACGAGTTAAAATCTACAGTTACCACTTGCACATATCAAGTAATTATTTATTATTTATCACGTTAATAATTAAAATTCTTACAAAAATTAACTCTATGAATGTTCATTTAACCTCACAATACTAATTTTTATAAATTTTCATCAATTTAAAGCTTTTTTTTGATAATTACCTAAATTCGACTTAGATTCGACTTAGATTCGACCCAGCTGGGTCGATTTTAGGTAAATCGAATCCGCCAGGGCAGCCTAATTTAAAAAAATAGATTCGTTCAAAAATAACTCTGTATTATATCTGGAGAACAAAAGAAAATTAATGATTGTAAAATATTTATTACTCTTATTAAAATATGCGTTTAAAGTGATTAAGGTGCAGAAAAATGACGCTTTTTACAGCACTTAGAAAATATTAGGGTAAATCTAGGGGAGATGGTCATAGACTTTTTAAAGTATTGTAAAAATGATAAAAAAAAGACTTTTATCTAAACTTATATTGATAATTAAAGATTGAACACTTAGCTTTTGAAATAACAAAAAATGGAATACCTAAATTATTTTCTGAGAAACAATATGAAAAATTTACATTTTTTAAAAAGAATATTTAGCCATTATAAATAATTATATACACCTACACTGTAAAAAATTTAGGGAGTTGAGGGTCACCGGAGTTGAGAGTAAAAGTTTTCGAGTTAAAAATCAACTCCAAAAGGGAGTTTATCAGTTGATTAACTCCAAAAGCATTAATGATTTATGAGTTGAATTATGCTGGGGGAATTCCCCAGCATAATTCAACTCATAAATCATCAACTCCTTTTTGCTTCAACACCAAAAGGGTGCGACTTTTATAGAATCCCCTTGGGAGTTGAAATTTCACTCCCTTTTTTTGCAGTGTATTATTCCCGGAATGTCCGGGAGAGATGATCTTTACTTATAACACAGGCCTGCAAATTTTTGGTCATGTCTGCTACAGAAAAATGAGAAGGTGGTTCTAATATAATTTTTGACACTGATTACAAATCTGACCTCAAAAATGACACATCAGGTCAGGATTTTCTGTAATATTAGGTTAAAGGTCCAAAAATGTCCATTTTTAGAAATTTTTTGTGGCTCACAAAATTTTTTTTTAATTTTACGAAACAGGTTCGTATAATACTATACTCGAGCTTCAATGCCCTTTTTTAAAAATTGTTTACTACAACGCGACACAATTGTGAAAAATGAGTTTCGAAGCGTAAGTGTACAATACTATTACGTAATATTTAAAAAATATTTTGGTAAACCACAAAAAATTCATAAAAATATTAAATTTTTTAGTTTTATATGTATGTATATTTTACTGAATAAAAAAGTTCCAAATCTGCATAACTTTTTTAAAAAATTGTAAAACAATTTTTAACAATGAGTTTTGAAACTCGAATGTAGTACTATATGATCCTGTTTCGTAAAATTAAAAAAAAATTTTGTGAGCCACAAAAAATTTCAAAAAATGGACGTTTTTGGACCTTTAATCTAATATTACAAAAAATCCTGACCTGATGTGTCATTTTTGAGGTTTTAAACATTTATCATGGAATTTCTTTCCTTTTTTCATGTAGCCAGAAATCTAAAATATTTCACTGAATCCAATCATTCAATGTTGTTTGATTGCAACTTTTGCCACAACCTACAAATAGATCTCCATCTTTGGTGTCAATTATATCAATTATTTTGTCATCAGACATTTTTTTTCTTTAAAAGTTCTTAAGCATTTTAAATTAAAATAATAAAATTAAAACGAAACGATAATACATGACTGAAATGAAATTAAATGGTCTGAATCAAATAATAAATAAATCATAATAAACCGTTATGGATATTAACTGTATTTATAATAATTTCAATTATGTTTTAAAAAAGTAGTGAATAAGAATAAGAAAATTGTTTCAAGTATTTTTACTTATAAAGTTGTATTTTTCTTTTATGATCAATTTTTATTGATATAGTTTTTCAAATTATCAATTTAAAACATTTATATTTACAGATTTAGTATATAGAAAATTTGAAGAAAAGAAAAAGCTCAAGGAAAAAAACCTAAGTCAGGACAACCGCACTGTAATAAGTAGGAAGATGGTCAAGACGTTTTGCAGAAGGTGCATTTCCGAAAAAATTAATGACGATAATAGAAACAGGCCTAACACGGCTGAAATAAAAGAATTGTTGAAAATTCGAGAGGAAAGAGGTAAATGAAGTTTATATATATTAATGTTATATTTTCTAATTCACAAGGTTGCTTATATATTTTGAAAAGCTCATAATGAAAAAATTTCCAAGATCTTACAATAAATTTATTGAATCAATCTTTAACATTCTGCACGTATGGAAAATGTTAGTACCTTTAAAAAGGATTATGGAGTTTATGGTTGTAACTACACACCATAGAATTGCCCATGTATGATAAAATAAAAAAAAATTTAAGTTTCAAGTAGTCCCAAGTATTCTAAAATTTTTGTATGGGTCTAAAAAGCATAAAAAATATTCTCAGATAAATTTTGAGTAACTTTATGGTGTATGGTTGCAACCATAAACATCACAATATTTCTCAAAATTTATTTGACAGTGTTTTTCATGTTTTCCAGACCCATAAAAAAATGTTAGAACACTTGGAACTACTTGAAAATGAAAATAATCATTATTATCGTACACGGGTAATTCTATGGTATATAGTTGCAACCATAAACACCATAAAATTACTTGAAATTTATCTGACAGTATGTTATATGCTTTTTGGACTCGGCTGGGCTTCAATTCCGCCTTTTCCAGTTGTTCAAATACCGACTGTACATGACCTATTAATCAAAATATGATTCTACTCAGTTTTTTATTCTCCTTAGACCGACTCTACAAAAAGGTTCTGCGGGGGCTGTATAAAAGGAATATAATACATTTATAGAAATACCGATTTTTCACAGACCGACTCTACAGCGACCAATTTTACATAAATAAATTTTCTGAAATTTTTCGGACCGACTCTACATGAAAACTTCTTTTTAATTTGTCGAATGTTTCAGACCAACTCTACAGGGACCGATTCTACATTGACCAACTTTACATGGAAAGACAGTCTCAAATTTTCGAATTTGGGACTACTCTACATGAAATCTTCTTTTCAATTTGTCGAATTTTTCAGACCGAATCTACATCGACCAATTTTACATGAAAAAAATTTTTCGAATTTTCGAAAATATTGTACAAATTCTTTTATGTAAAATTGGTCGATGTAGAGTAGGTCTGTGAACGATCGAAAATGAAATAAAAATGCATGTAGAGTCGATCTATCAAGAGTAGTTACGGGTAGGACCGACAAGTAAAAAATTGTTTAGATGCAGAATCGTCCCTGTAGAGTCGGTCTGAAACATTCGTCAAATTGAAAAGAAATTTTCATGTAGAGAGGGTCCCTGTGGAGTCGGTCTGAAAAATTCGAAAATTTGAAACTTTCTTTCCATGTAAAATTGGTCCATGTAGAATCGGTCCCTGTAGAGCTGATCTGAAAAATTTGACAAATTGAAAAAAGTTTTAATGTAGAGTCGGTCGATGCAGACGCGGTCTGAAAAATTTGAAAAAATTTTTTTATGAAAAAAGTGGTCGATGTAGAGTTGTTGTGTAAAAAATTAGTATGTCCATAAATGTATTATATTCCTCTCACACAGTCCCCGCAGACCCCTTTTGTAGAGTCAGTCTGAGGAGAATAAAAAATTGTGTAGAATCATATTTTGATTAATAGGTCATGTACAGTTGGTATATGTGAACAACTGGAAAAGGTGGAATTGAAGCCTAGCCTTGCCGGCCGGGGTGGTTACTTCCGATTTTGGGTTTTAGTTTTCCATGATAACTCCATAAGGACAATAAAATTCTTATTAAAAAATATAAATTTTCTTTGAAAAAATGACGGCCCTCTAAAGGTTACAAAAAAGTAACTAAGTTACAAGTTATATAAAAAGTAATTAGAATCTTTATAAGAAAACTTAAAAATTCACCATTTTGAAATAAAAATGTTTTTTTAATTAAAGTGGGTTTTAATCAAAATGTGGAATAGGGTAAAGTACTGTTAGATACGCACCAATTAGAAAATTGCGTCTAAATTCAATTAATTAAACATTTTTAATAGTCAGAAATATTGTTGGTTCATAAGTAGGAGATATGAATTCAATTTCTTCTTAGAACGAGTAAGAGTGAAATTTAGTGCCAAGTTATAGCACCGGATTTTTAAAGGGCACACACTTTAATTTCTGACCTAATTTTTGTTCGTTGATTATAATATTTTATTAGTTTATTCAAAATCATATTTGAACAATCGTTTTTTATTTTTTAAATTTGAAATTAAATAATTAGAAAATTTTATCCTTTAAAGAAATTTTAAGTGAATTAACAATATATAATAATTGTTTCCCACCTGGCTTAAATCCTTTCACTCAATTTTGAAGTTATATTACCAATTCGACCTACATCTTTTGTACTAATATTGAGGTTATTATGGGATACGATCTCGGTAAATTCACTTCACAATCCTGTGTTTAGATTTTTTTTTTCTTACACCAGTTGCACTTCCAACTTATTAATAAATTTGCAGTAAAACTTTTTTTGTTTTTGCGAAAATTGTTTGTGTAACTTGATTTACTTTAACCAAAAAATACTTTTAATGACAAGTTTAAATAATAACGTTCAAGTGAACGAACTATTTCTTATTAAAAATAGTTTCAGAAATTACTTATTGCAATAAAAATAATAATTCAAATTCTACATTGATAGATTTTCAAAAATTATTTTTTTATAGTAATTCGAGATTATTGTAATAAAAAATTAATTTGAAAAAGAAATAAATAAATTTTGTTCATTTGAACGCAATTCCGAATTTTAGGATCATATTGACCGATTAAATTTCAATTTTGTCTAGTCGATTCGAATAACTTTCGGCTCGAGTCGATTGAACGCACACCTCTAATCTATGAAATTTTAAACACTGTATTTTTTCTATTTCAGATCAACAAAACGCACAAGCGTCAACTTCTACTGAAGCCCTCAACACAGAGTAAAATGAAAAATTTTGTCTACGCTTTGCTTTGTAATTTTAATTTCTTTAATAAATAACTTTACACAATATATTTCTTGTTAATTCCTCCATGATAATCTTAAATTGCGAAATGATTAAACCTCTATGAATCAATTGTTTTGGATTTAAGTGCACAGGGAGTGCGTAGATAGTTACACAAAAAATTAATTTTCTTTTTAAAAATCTTAAAATTTTATTAAGTTGGCAAATATACTTAAAAATATTTTTAAACATATATTTTTCCATTTTTTAAATTGTATGAAAAAATAATTTTAATTTAAAAAATTATTCGTTTACAGTTAAGTTAATTTTTTAAAAATTTTGGTAATTATTGACTGGAACAATATTTTACTATTTTTACTTCACTTTGACAATACTTGAAATTTTAATAGTTATGACTCAAATAGAATTTTTTTAATCTAAATGAGATAACGTAGAGGAACATACACGAAAGTTTCATTCATGTATTTACTGGAACCTTTATATAGATTTCAGAAACACAAGAACCTGTAAGGGAAGCTGTACAGGTTCCTTCATAGGATCCCATTTCCAAGCTTATATCCACGGGGAACTGTACATGTTCCTGTACAGGATCCTCCACAAAAAAAGCTCTCCAAAAACCCACAAAGGTTCCTATACATGATCCTCCTTTGGATCCTGCGAAGGTTCCTTTACAGAATAATAAAGTAAGCCTTCCTGCGCAGGAACCCACAGGGGATCCAGCAGCTGGAAAAATTTTATAAAACCTGATGTTGAGGTTCCTGTGTAGGAACCGGCGAAGGAGGCTTGATATTCAAGGTTCCTGTGCGTGTTCCTGCACGGGTTCCTGTGCAGGAACCTTGTCCCAATATCCCGTACAGGATCCGGACAGGAACACACACAGGATTAGTTAGGGATCCTTATGGGATCCCATACGGTTCCTGTACAGGAACCTCCCGGGATCCCATGAGGATCCTGTACAGGAATTTTAAGCTTGGTTTCGAGTTGGATTTATTTCTATTCTAAAATGTTTATGCGCAAATTTCAAAAAGATATTAATCACATTAATTTAAAATCTACAATTTATATTTTTCAGATTTGTGATCTTCAATTTTATCGCATTTGATATTTTGAATTTTGCAAATGTGATATCGGATTCGTAATCAGCGACCCCGAAAACCTCCCGATACCAAGTTTTATAAAAAATAATCAACTTTAAGAAACTTCAACCGCCATATTTGATCCGCCATTTTGAATTTTGAAAATCTGACATCATATTCGTAATCAGCGACCCCGAAAAACCCCGGGTACCAAGTTTCATAAAAATTATTAATTTTTAAAAGATGTTCTCGTCATTTTTCATTTAAGGGTTGTTTTCACCCCTAAAATCGTTAAATGACCAGATCTTGCAAAACGGCAAAACATGGGTCTCTTTGTTTGGGCCCTAGTTTCCGAAATTGTTTGGATTGTTCGTGTGTGAAAAAAAAGTTGAATTTTGTTGGACGGTGATATTGATACCACATGGAGTCACATTTGTGCGAATCGATTCGCACCGCGTGATCTCATATCAATCTACCGATCTAACGAGATCTCACGCATGCGACTCAAATGATATCTCACGAATGCGGGCCAAATCCGATCATGGTGCGAATACACTTTCAGAGGTTAGGAACATGAACTTATTTATCAAATAGGCATAAAATAAAGTAAATAACAAACTTTTAATTAAATTTGATAAAAATAACATTTCATTTAATCAGCAATGTAAAATATCAAATGAAATATGTTCATATACACCAATACACATAATAATACCAAAAAGACACGAATCACAACGATTACACAACATTACACATAAATAAGAAAACATTTATTAGAAAATAAAAAAACTAAAACCGCGCACTATTTAAGAACAACACTAACAACACTATTAAAAAACTAGTAAATTATAAACTATCAAAATCCAACGGGAAAAATACCATTGTCGTATTAATGGCCCAATAATGGGAGCCAGGTATAAGTATATCCTTTACAACTTAAATTCAAAAGTGATAACCTTTTTTTATCCCAAAATTACCGTATTTGAGATGTTACAATTTTCTTAGAAAAATGTTTTTTATAATAAATTTTAAATATTTGTAATCATGAAGAATTGTAGATTCTGAATTGTTATTTATTTCAGTTTAAATGTTACAATTGCAAAAATTTTGTGCAATAAAATTCAGGTTGAAGACCCAAAGCTCTGAATAATAGAGCTACGATGCTATTGTGAAAAAAGGGATACTCATATAAATTCGAAGTTTTGATGGTTGTATTCACATTCGTACTAACACTTACATTAGTTTCTCCATGTTTCTTTCAGTTTCGGCAAACCGTAATTTATTAGGGGTAATTTTGGTGATTAAAGTGAATAGGATCAATTACATCAGGCACGTGTCAAAATCGGACCCAATTCGGTACCAAAACGTGTCCGTGCAGGGTCCTTTTACACCGAAAAAATCCCCTTGTTTCAAGAGGATTCCTCTTATTTCAATGCATATTTTCCTCTAGTATATGCTGCAAAAGGATGTCCTCTAAATTTAAGAGGATTGTCCTCTATGTAAAATTATTCCTCTTAATTTAAGAGGATACTCTTATTTAAAGAGGAAAATATCATCTTAAAAAGAACTCTGAAATAATAAAAATCCAATCATCTAGTTTGTATGTCAAAGATATAATCTATAAAATTAAAAGGAATAAAATTTATTATTCCATGATTTACAACTATTTGAGTATAAATAAATTTAAATTGATTTTAATTTTTTTTGAATAAATCAACTAAATCTATTTTTAATAATATTTTTATGCGCAAAATATATAATTCATTAAATTTAAAAATTTATTTTAAATACATAAATTTTAAATAAAATTAAAATAAATAAAAATCGTAATAAAATAAAATTTTAAATAGCATAACCTCAAAATTATTTTAATTTTTTTAAAAATTTCTTTTACCTTCAAAAATAGGCACGTATTGTGTAAGTTGCAACTCTATCAAGATATTTAAAAGATTATTATCCATTTTGGTTTATTCCCCTTTTTCACACAGAAACTAAAACTTTTTCACGCATGATATGCGATTTATGACGCGATCATCTTTGCGCATGAGCAACTTTCTAAGGGAAATCCTCTTAAAATTTAGAGGAATATTCTTAAACATAGAAGATTATTCTAAATTCCAAGAGTATTATTTTTATTCTAAAAAGATTATTCTGAATATAAGAGGAATGCTATAGAATAGTCCTTTTGTTTCGATCCTCTTGAAATTAGAGGAAAATATTCTCATTTAAAGAGTAATACTCTTGTAGAGTAAGGAATTTTTCCCTTCCGGAATGTTTAATAAAAAGTTGAGAAAAATTCAATCCTTGGAAGGATTAAAATAACATAAAAATTGTATGTTATTAATATTGTTTATTGTCACAAAACAAGAAACGACGTTTCGATGACTTGGTTCGTCATCATCTTCAGGTTAAATCAAAAAATTAATTGAACCGTTACATCTTAGCGTTAGAAAATTTTATTTTCTACAGACAATGCTGACACGTCAGGTTTATAGACCAGTATCGTTTTCTAACGCTAAGATGTAACGGTTCAATTAATTTTTTGATTTAACCTGAAGATGATGACGAACCAAGTCATCAATACGTCGTTTCTTGTTTTGTGACAATAAACAATATTAATAACATACAATTTTTATGTTATTTTATTCCTTCCAAGGATCGAATTTTTCTCAACTTTTTAGTAATACTCTTGTTTTAAGAATAAAATTCAAGAGGATTCTGTAAGAGGAATTTACCTCTGAATACAAGAATATTTTTTTTCGGTGTAGAGTCCGTTCTTTCGGCAGGGTGGTAGCTTCAAAATCGATTTTTGTCCAAAAAAAACCAAAAAATATTCGTATCTTATTCCTTGACTAAAATTAACTATAGGCTCGAATTTCACATGTGTATTGAGTTAAGACGGAGTCAAAAAAAATTTTTAGGTCGTGGGACGCGAGCCCTGGTAACTGTATGAGCTTGCAGCAAGCTTACCGTGAAGGTTTGCCAGCTTGCATGGCGAGTTTGATGCCAGTATATGCTGCATGTAACAAAATATCTTATTGCTACAAGCTTACAATATATAAACTTGCTACAAGATTTCAAAATACACTTGCTAAAAGCTTGCACGGCAAGATTGTAGATATTGTTGCAAGCTTACGTGCTGATTGAGTTGAGTTAAATGAAACTTTTGGCGCAAGTGTTTGCTGCCCTACTGCAAAAAGCACACGTAAGAACAAACATTAGTCTGTATATAAAAACTCATGTAAGATCGCTTATAAGATCTCAATCGACACAGCTGAGTTCTTGCATGCATTCTTACATAAATTCATATGTAAAAACTCGTGTGAGTTCTTATACAAATTTCGTACATCCTGATACATGCGCGACTTACTACGTCGCGTACTATGCAATTGGGAGTTCCTCGTGAACAGCGATATCAGACACAAGTGTTGCCTTTGCTCGTAATGTTTTTAAACTGTTCTCCGACATTTCTGTGCTCACTGGTGCTTTTATCTTGATCTTAGCCGGTCTGAGATTTTCGTTAGTTTCAAAAAGTGTATTTGTTCTGCCTGCTTCACAGATTCTCTGTTTATTTCTCAAGTGTCTGTTTTTTGGTTAGAGCCAGCCGACGGGCTGCGCGCTTGCAGCCGAAGCATGGCCTCCGACGTAACGTCGATGGACTATAGCGATTAAAGCAATCAGTCCCTTGTTTCCGGTGACTCTCAGGTGAAGAAAGCAGCGGAAAATTTAATCAATTTCAAAAACAGTGGGTCGCGTAAAAACTCGGAATCATCGATCGATCTAGAACCCAGCTTCGAAGCGCCTTTGCGAAAACATTATGGGTAGTAATGCTCCCCCTATCGAATCAACCTAAAAAATCCGGTGATCATGTCTCAAACGACAATCTCAAGTCGCTTAAATATGA